TTATGTTTGATGTCTTGGCAATTTTCCTCAACAAGAAGCCAGGGGGCATGAAGGATTTGAGTTCAATTGTCCTTGGAATGGGTGAAGAATACTCTTTAACACGATTGAAGTTCTAGGATCCCTCTGGAATAATCACACTTGTAGTGTGTGTTCAAAGAAGAGCACATTTACTTAAGGACCCTGGAAGAAGAGGGTATATTCCCTCTTTAAGGGCAACTGTATTCTTTTGCTGGTCTTCCACAATTACATTGGATAAGAGATTTTCATCATCATAAAAATCCATGAACTGTCAGCTCTGGATTACCTCCAACCCTTGAAACACCATGAGCAGGGCATTTGCTTTTGTCATTCTCTTGGCATTCTGGTCTTCAGATTCCTGCCAGAATTATATATTATGTTCTGCTTAAAGCATTCTAGGCCTTCTCCAGAATGAATCTCCAAACCCTTCCAGCTTCACACAAACCAGCCCCAAAGGAGTGAGGTCATATGCTCCCGTGTATCACAGCAATGACCATTTACATGTGTGTGTGAATGTGGGTAGCACATATATAGTGCACATATGTGGAAATTAGAGGACATCCCTGGAAGTCAATTCTCTCCTTCTGCCACATCTGACTAGATACTGTCCACGGCTGTGAAACTGAGTAACAGTAAGCTAAAAGGAAACGGATTAACGTCTTCAGCAGAGGGAATCTCTCGATAGCACAGTGTTCAGGCTGTAACATGGCTGGCTCCTGCTTACTGCTCTCATTCAGATCTCCAGTAATGGGAAGTCTGGTGGAGGAAGTGTGTGAGAAAGTTGAAAGGGGAAGACAAGGAGACACACAGGTGGAAGATTGTGGATTAAACGTTGACACTTGCTTGGGTGTCAAGTTAACAAGTAGACCTATGATGGTTGGTACTGATTGTCACCTTCACAGATCTAGAATGGCAACAGATCTAGAATCCCCTAAGAAATACATTTCTAGGCATGTCTGTAAAGGAGTAGCATTAACTGCATAGAGAAAACCAACCCCAAGCGCAGCATCATTCAATGGTCTGGGGTTGTAAATGGAATAATAATGAGAGAGCTAACTGAGTACCACCATCCATCTCTCTCTCTCTGCTTTCTGAACACAGATGCAATGTAACCAGTTAAATGGCGCCTTCCATGATGCCTTCCCTAAAACTAGAAGCCAAAGTAAGATTTTCCTTCCTTCAGTTGACCTTTTCATATATTGAGTTGAAATTATTCAGAACATTTAAAAAGTTGCTATTTATCAACAAACATCTTTACTGAATGCTGTGTATATCAGTGCTCAATGTAGTTATCATTAGTAAAATATGACAAAACCATGCGACAGAAACCCAGGTGACTATTGGAAATTAAATGACAAAAAAATGCAAAAAGATGCACATGATAAACCATAAAGAAAGAAATTTGCTGAACCGTAAAAAAAAAATCCATAAACCTTATTTTGAGATGCACCTGTTTTATGTTCCTCTAATGAAGCCTTCTCAGCAATTCCAGAAACATCTCCTGCTGTGGTATTTGCAGCATGACATCACCAATATGGTTTCCAAATACTGGGCTCAAATGTATATCTGTCTGTAATTCTATCAGGAATGTCCATCTGGCTATTATAATAATATCTTTTCTTCGTCTTTGGACTCATGTGTGTGTGTGTGTGTGTGTGTGTGTGTGTTTGCCTGTGTATATGTGGTTTGTACATGAGTGCATGCATTTAGTGTGTGTTCACACATGAATATGCATGCCTATGTGTGTGTGTGCATGTGTATGACTGCATGAGATCAAAGTGACCTAGAAAAATCAAAGTGATCAAAGCATCATGGACTGCCCAGGTAGAATGAGAACAATAAACATGGTCACCATGAAGATTAAAAACAGAAGTTAAATAGACGTGAGTGACGAATCACTGAGTCCTGAGAATACAGATGAGAGGTGTTTGTGAAGAACTTAATCAGGAGCACAAGAAGTGTGCAGGAAGTACTTAGTGTACTTTAATGTGCAATTTCTCATAATAGTTTCCCATGGCCTTTTGTATTCCTGGGAGTTCTACCATAATCATGGTGGGAAGGACATAGAATCAGAGCTCAAGGCAGCCAATCACTTCACACCCTCAGTCAGGACCAGGAAGAGATAGGGATCGTCGCTCAGCTCTCCTCCTCCTCCTGTTTATTCTGTTCAGAATCACAGGCAGTGGGATGGAGTTGCCCACCTTCAGGGTGGGTCTTTGCTGAGTTAACAGCTGTAGAGACTCACTTCTATACACCTACATCTGAGTTTCTACATGTTTACAGATGAATAAGCATGAATTATACTATGAACACCACAAGGAAAGGGTCCACGTTTCATCTAGTCTAAGCTATCTTCCATGAATCAATGCTTTCCGGAAAGCTGCAAGCAAGCAGCCTAGTAGCCTTCCATTTAGGGACATTTGTAAATGCTGCAGAGTCACAGAGCATTCACTTGTGCAACCTAGCTGAGAATAACAATACTGTGGATGGAGAAATGTGTCAACAAAGACCAACGTATACCCCCAAAATAAGGAAATAGGCCCGTCACAAATGGCAGTGCTTGGCTGCTGAGGAGGCCAAATGCAAAAATCAAATAAAACAGAAGATGCCTATGAAACGTTCAAATGAGCTGTTTCTGCTAACAGTTTGTGGATAGCTACCTACTTTCTTCAACATCGAGACTGAAGAGAAGTATTATCGGTAGTCCAAACAGTTACAGTCTCAGTTCCAGCTCACCAAGAAAATTTTAAAGCAACTTCTTAGAGGCTAATTTAAGAGTTTGGTTTTTTATTATTTTAATTAAGTGTGTGTATGTGTATGTATTTGTGTATGTGTATGTGTATGTATCTGCATGAGGGCAGGTGCCCACAGAGGTCAGAGGCGACAAATCCTCTGAAATTGGAGTTCCAGGCATTTGTGAACCTCTCAACACAGGAACTGAACTGGGATCTTCTGGGGGAACAGTAGGTGCTATTAATCACTGGAGCCGTCTCTTTAGCCACCCTGAAAGATGCTATCACACAATGTAGATAGACATGGGTTAAATACAAACCACACCCTGTCTGAGTTCATCTAATCTCCATGTTCTCTGCACATTAGCTGAGTCACAGGAAGTCTTGATTCACACAATAAAAGAAAGAATCGTGGTGCTAATTGGCTATGGTCAAAGGATTCCTTTCCCCTGAGGTTTTTGCAAAAGACCCTTAATTATGACTCATCAGTACTGGTTAATATAATTAGATGATATGCATTTATTACTAAATGGACAGTAATTATGCTTTTGTGGAAATGCATCTTTTTTCAGTCTCATCTCCACAATAGCTGAAGGGCCTCCCTTAGACAGCTTAGCAAATAGATGTGATTTGCTCAGATTCCTTTTCTTCGGAATCCCGCTGGACCCGCCATCATGCGGTCACTGCTCTCCTCTACTTTCCTCTGATGGCAGCGTTTGTCTACCTGATGCAACCAACCCCAAAACACCACTTTGAGGTGGCTCAAGTTTCTCATGCTTCTCTCTAAGGAGGCAACGAGGGCTTTCTGTTAAGAATGCGTCTTACCACATGAAAGTGTAGTGCCATGTGCACACAACCCCAGAACACGAGGAGGTGAAACAGGAAGGTCCTGGGGCTGGCTCCCCTGCCATGAGTGTGTGGCAAGTTCCAGGTCAATGATAGAGACTGCCTCAGGGGAGACAATTCAGTCCTTCTAAGGATGGGTGACTATTGGGATTGTCCTTGGGCCTCTCCACATATGTATGCACTCAAAACACACTTAAATATGCACACACATGCACACACACACACACACACACACACACACACACACACACACACACACACACACACACACAATAAGTAAATGAATAAACAAACAGGCAAACCCTGTGCACCCTTGTTAAATAAGGGTGCGCACTCCTATCTGTCACACTCCTGGTAAATCATCGGTTCCATCTCCTTGGTGTTGGCCACTTCATTCTAAGTGGCTTCTGTTGTCTTTATTAAAGTATATATTGCGTCATTGTTCCCTGAGAACCTCATGCATGCTTACAATGTGCTTTGATCGAATCCATTCTCCACCCCCTCCCCTCCAGGCTGTCCCCCACCTCATGTCCTCTCTCCCAACTTTCTACAACCCTTTTAAACCCCACTGAGCCCATTATGTACTTTTTACAGAACAGTTCTTACAGCGGTGTTACAAACCATTCCTGAGTGTCCATAGCATTGGGATAGTGGTTATAACCCCCCCCAATTTCTCTAGCATTCTCTTTGCATATAATCACAGTTTGTTGTTATTCCTTAAACTATTTTTTTAAATGTCACTTCCTTACTGTTATACTTAATTGTTGAGAATATCACTTATATTTCACACAAAATGGAAACTCCAAACTTCTACTTCCCCTGATGCACCATTAACCCCACAAAGGCACTCAGTATGTGCTCTGCTAATATTTACCCAGGTGTTAATGTGATGACAGCCCACCTGCTCTGGCTGCCTAGGAAGCACTTTCCAGCCATAGGGTGGAAATTAATGACAGCCTCCCTGGTAACGGAGCTAAGCAAGGCGAGGAGTATATAAGAGCCAGCTTGCCAGTTGCCAAGCCGTGCGTGCAGACTTTGGGCTGTGGTTCCTGAAGCTTCTGGCTGTCAAAGTCATTTCTGATATTGCTGACACTGATCACTGAAAGGTAAAGAACATCCTGTGCTTGGGAAGATGTTATTTACTAAAAGAAAAAAGCAATCTTTGTGTTACCTGGAGGAATTACTTCAAGAAGAGAGTAATAGAAAATTTCATGTTGCTTTGGGCAAGAAACTGAACATTTTGAAATTGTTTCAAAGCTGACAAGCATCTGTTTAAAAAAAATAACAGAAATCCTTGTAAAATACAACTTAAAATGTCTTTGAAGGTTCTAATTTAAAATTGCATTAATCAGAACTGAAGGAGGGAGCTTGACTTCACTGTTTTCTCAGGGAACTCAAGAAGCGATGCACATCTCGAAGCTGCCAGCTGCTCTCCTCATCCTCTCTGTGGCACTAAACCACTTGAAAGCTACGCCTGTCAGAAGGTTGGTAACCTGAAAACTCCTACTTCTTTTGAAAAGGGTGGGGAAATTAGAATTCAGCACTGCTATGTAGCCAATAACCCTTGTATTGTTCAACCTCTAAGCAAGCACTGCCATGAGCAATACTTGAAGCTGAAAGTTCCCTAATGGTGCATTCTCCAAGGACAAGGTCAGAAGCTGAGGATTGACTGGTAGAACTTCTTACAGATGGGTATGGATAGCAACATTTGTCTGCAAACTTGTTAGAACCTACAGGACAAAGCCAGAGTAAGATGCCAGGAAAACTGACAGGTAGACATTCATACCATTTGACCCCAATACTGAAAGAAACTGAAGGAATTAAACAAAACGTTGCTTTTCATATTACGTGGCATTTTGGTGCATATTTAAACAGCTTATTTTTCCTCTACAGAGGGGTCTGGAAGTACCCAAACTTATATACCTCCTTCTGAGATTTGAAACTATAAAAGAGGAAGCAAATAAAAGGTTTTAAGAAGCTAAATTTCAGAAGGAGTTAAAAAGTCATTTGCTATTTGAAGGTCATTCCACATAGTGTCTATAAAGAGTTATAAAAAGTTATTCTACACAAGATAACTCTGAGCATCTGCAAATGTAAATTAGTAATACCTGAAATATTGTCAATGTGTAGACTATATTTGTACACCATCATGAGTTCTGAGGAAGGCTTATTGGAAATAGTGAAGGTAAACAAAGAAAACTAAATGGCAGTTTGAGGAAATCTAAGGTAGTTTAAGGCAGCTGGCAGAATAGTAGTAATTACAAGCTTCAGATGGAAACCACTTAAAACTGTAATTCTCCACCTATTTAAGAGATTCCTGAGACCAAATCCATGAATCTGATTTAAATAATGTAATGGGAATTTCTGCCTAAATCAGTTTTGCTCCAGATACTATAATGGAGACCAAACTTAGGCACAAAGAATGAAATTTACCTTTGAAAAGGAGTGTAATTTAAGTCTCAGGAGAATTATCGCCATCCTCTTTTTCTCTGGGGTATTTGTTCTTTGGTGAAAGTCTGTGTCAGTGTGTGGATATCTCTACATCACCAGTTGTGATTAATACCAGGAATCGTCAAAAAATAGTTTTTGTCATCTCAAAACTCACCCGGTTTCACCCAGTGTTCTCTGAACTAACTGTAATTTTAGTTGGCTAAAAATAACTGTAAAACCAATATAAAGTCTCTAATAAGCAGAACAATTGGATCATGATGGAAATTTAATAGTATTGCCTAATGTGTCTGCTAGTCTCTTGATTTTTTTTTCTTCCAGTACATATGGAGATTTGCTCAGCACCTCTATCGAGTGTGTCTGTGGGTACTTACATCTTATATAGTTAACTTTACTCTAACATAGAATGAATCGCACTGTTACTGCCTGTCATATTATTTTCCTATTTTCTCATAATCATTTATCTTGTACACACTCACAGATATCCTTAAAAAGTCTTTCAATGTTACTCTTAACATTAAGTACCCTTTTAGGTGATGGGAGATGTATACATACACATACTCATACCTAGTTTGATCACTAGGAGCTCACAGTAGCAGCAAAGACCTCTACATGTGAATGCTGATGTAGACAAGTCACTGAGAAAAAAAATACCTAAAGTGGGGATAGCATATCTTTCACTGGTGATGTCATCCTTACCTGCATTCTGATGATTATTTTGAACAGTCTCGATCATCTTTAGATGGAAGGTTTCTTAGGGGTAGCAATATTGCATCTATGACACAAGCTTAAGAGCTTTGGGCATCTTTCATGAGAAGTGGTGGCCCTTTCGGCTAACTCAATAAGATAATGCTTCAGTTAGAATATCTTAAGGTGCTACAATTGCCCTATAATCAATTCTCAAAGTCCAGTCTCACAACTAGCCTGTGAAGAACTCTAAAGTCTGCTTCCACCCCTGCCGGGAGCATCTTCAGAGATCGCCCTTCATTGATAGATCATGTCCCCTCCTGTCTTAAATCTATCAGTTTTCAGGTTCAGGGTCCAACTTCTAACCCCAGCTGTTTTCTAGGAAAAGCCATAGTATTTAAAATTTAATGTCTGGGTTTTGGAAAGACTGACAATATTCTTTAAAGCATTAAGTCATTTATTTAAAATACAGTGTTCATGTATGGTATGCCTTCAAAGAACACATAACATCCCTGAGATGAATACAGATCAAAAATGTAGATTGCACTCTTTGTGGTGGCACACACTTATACTCCCTGCAATAGAGAGGCAAGACAGGAAGACGATGCTGGCCTGAGAGTAAAAAGTGGGAATTTGCTTCAACAAAATGAAAAGTTAAAACAAGCATCTGGGACCCACACTGGGCATCCTTTGGCTACTGGGTGTTTCTTTATTGTGTATTTACACAAAACAAACAGCCAGGTCACTTGATGCTGACAGAGAGTTTTCTTTAATTGGGGGAAATATAGTAGTAACAAGGCAAAATAATTTTAAAAGTTCATATGAAACATTTAAGCTTAGGGTACCTCTGCACAGAGGCAATGATCCGCCCTATAAGGTCCTCACAAGAGACATTCATTGCACTTAGTCCCCATTTATGTGTCGAATACGTGGTCCTGAGAATTGATTATTTTTAGCCCCATAACTTTTACTTTCCACCTCACAGCTATCTAAATTTTAATAGTAATTTGATTTCTCTGGCAGCTGAAAACTAAAATGCTTCCCATCGTGTTCTAAAAGTCAACACAGTAGGCAGCATTACTATTCCATATCCATTTGAAATATCATTCTGAAAGCACATTGATAAAGTTTATTTCTGAGGTATATGCCAAATCCCCAAGTCTTAAAAGTTTGGTCCTAACCCATGGTACTTGTAGGAGGTAGTAGAAACTTTGAGAGAGAGAATAGAGTGGGGGTTTGGGGTCGATGGACTTGTACCTTCAAAAGAGGTATGGGAACATACTGTATTCTCCTCCCTCTTTGTTTGATTCCTGGCTCCCATACAATTATTATCTTGCTTCATCTCACAATTACCTACTGTGATACAAGTCGTTAGTATCCAAAACAACAAGATCAAATGACTCTGGGCTGAGCCCTCAGGATTTCTAGCCCAAATGTCTTTCCTGTTTTTAAGTTGGTTTATTTCAGGTGTTCTTATACAAGCAGAAAGCTGACCAACAGAGGCATGAGGCATTCTAAGAGTATAGAGTCCAAAAAAAGAAAAAGAAAAAAAAAGATGAACGTGCCAAATAGAGGTGTAAATCCAGGCGTGGTGTCACATATCTGTAAACCCAACACTTGGGAGAAGTGGGACAACCACAAGTTGGAAGCCAGCCTGGGCTACATGGCTAGGTCCCAAAATAACTAAATGAATAAATTAACACATCAAAATTCAAAGGAATTTTAAATCACAGTTATAATTTCTTGAGTTATTGCTAGTGGTGTAACTCGATTGTTCAGGTAGCTAAAAACATGGTGACCTTGATGCCTTTGATAGGGAAACACTCCAGTTGTCACAGTTAGTGTAGCCCTAACATTAAATTTTTGAAAAGCAGAGGTCTACACATTCATGCCAAGGACTCCCATGGAGTCACAGTGCTGGAAGAGTAATCAGTTCATTTGTCCTGTGACTCTATAGCAACTTGTAGATGATCTTTCAATCACCTATTATTGCTTTTTTGTTTTGTTTTGTTTTGTTTTTTTTGAGACAGTGTACCTCTGCATAGCTTTGGCTGTTCTAGAACTCAGTCTGTAGAGCAGACTGGCCTTGAACTCATAGAGATCTGTCTGCCTCTGACTTCCTAGTGCTGGTATTAAAGGCACACACCACTACTGCCTGGCCTTATCTGTCTTTTCAATGTTTCTATACTGTTTACTGTAATAAAAAACATTCAATGTGAGATCTGCTCTCACCTTTTAGTGTGCAAAATTTTGTAGTGCTGGCAAACTGCTGACAGTGGTCTTGAGGACATATTCACCTTGCTGCCTATTGCTTAGTAACCAGTTATTTGCCCCTGCCCATTACCTGGTGAACAGCATTCCACTATTTGATTCATAAATGTGACTGTGTGTGATGTCTCATACATGTTCACTCAACACGTGATTTCCTGGGCCTGACTTCTCTCACTTTACACAATGTCTTCAGTGTTGCATATTGCAGAATTCCCTTATGGCATCTTTCTCTTGATATTTTAATTGAGTAATCTCAAGAAACATACCAAAATGCTGTTTAATTTTTGTCAAAAAGATAGAGGAAATGAATGCACCTTTAGAATCTGCACGTAGCCCAGGCTAGATATAAACCATACACTCCAAATCCTTTATATATAGCAGAAAACATGTCCACCAACAAGACTTGGAATAATAAAAGATAAAGAGTTTTTTTATATATAAGAACACATGCCAAATATCCAAAGAGATTGCTCCTTGTATTGTGAACTGCGATGCTGACTGCAGTGGAAAGTGGTGTGTGATTTTGTGGTCGAAAACTGATTCTTCTACATGTTCTAGATATCGGGACTTGGGACAAAGTCCTGAGTGACTTCTGTAAAATTACTCCCATCTGTTACTGCGTAAGATAGTGAAGACGATATGGCTGTCTCTCAACCTGGTACTTCTTTCTTATCTGCTCAGTTCCACCGGCCATCAGACGGACAAACGGAAGTGTAATACAGCCACATGTGCCACACAGCGCCTGACAAACTTTTTGGTCCATTCAAGCAACAACCTTGGTCCTGTCCTCTCGCCAACCAACGTGGGGTCGAACACATATGGCAAGAGAAGTGCTGCAGGGATTTCAAACAGGGACTCTTTGGATTTCTTACTCCTTTAGAGTCAACGTACTTCTTAATTTCTTGTTATGTTATGTGCAAATACTGTGGCAATTTCATGAATAATTTAACAGTGCCTTTATCATTTCCACTGTGAATGCACTGCAATGTGTTCCATGCTTTCTGGCTATGTGTGTAAATCCTCATCCTAAGAATTGTTTTAAACTGAGGGCTGATCAAGATCAGGCTGAAGACAATGTCTGTTAACACAACATGTTCTTGAAATACTTAAAATTTCTTTTTTTTTTTTTTACCTTGTAACTTTGTGATTCAAGTTTAACAATAAAGGAGACCATTGGAGCATGAAACTTGAAAAGTCTTTGCTGCTAATAGTAGAGTCCTGATTCTGGACATTGGAGAACCAAATATTCTAGGTACCTGTTCAGATGTCATTTCAAAATAAATTAGCAAAATTGTTGCAGGATTATTTGATCACACTGTGAACCCTGAGATTGTGTTTACTGGAAAAACCTGTTTCTAGCTGTGGTGTGGCTCAGCCTCATCACACACCTTTAATCCAAGAGCTTTCTTCTTACTGAAAACAGGATTAAATAAAGTCAACCATAGGTCAAGAGCACGGTGCAAGCACCCAGATGACAGGAAGTGAACATAAGAAAGAAAAAAACATAGAGAGTAAGAGAGAGTCAGAAGGACAGACAGAGAGATGCACAGGAAGTAAAGGGGAGCATTCAGTTTGAGGGTTTTGTTTGAGACTGTGTAGGAAAAAGGCCTTGCATTCTGGGACATTGGTGGAGGAGGAGGACGGTCAGCCAGGTGCTTGATCTGCCTCTCTGAGCTAGTAAGCTTTCACCCCGGCATCTGGCTCCTGAATCTTTACTGGTAAAATCGAATGATTGAGATTAAGTCAAAAGCAAAACAAAATCTTGTTCTGATTTAATTAAAATATTTTTAATTTTGTTCTTTTTTAAGATTTTATTTATTTATTATGTATATGACATTCTGCTCCCATGTATAACTGCACACCAGAAGAGGGCACCAGGTCTTATAACGGATGGTTGTGAGCCACCATGCGGTTGCTGGGAATTGAACTCAGGACCTCTGGAAGAGCAGTCAGTGCTCTTAACCTTTGAGCCATCTCTCCAGCCCTTAATTTTGTTCTTTATTGTGCTTGATAGCACTAAAAATGTATTTTGAATGATGAAGGTGGTTTGTGTCCATGAGGGATTCATTGCGTTTTCTGCAGTGAGCTTTAATGGCGTGTCTACGGCTTCATCCAGCATATTTCAAAAGGATCCTGTCTTCTGTTATTTATGTCTTCAAGTAAGAGACCACAGATTCTTCAAACTCAAGCCTATATGTCAATTTATTCTCTTGGCTAAGTCAGGAAAGTTTTTAGATGAATGGTGTGACTATGTAAGTCAGTGTTACAATCTACATGCTTTTCCCTGACTATAAATGGAACCACTGGAAATGACATTAATGTATACAAATTATATAAACTACCTTATATCATTTTTCTAAATGGGGTCTGTCTATAGAGCCCTGGATGTCTTGGAACTCATTATGTAGACCAAAATGGCCTCAAACTAATAGACCTCTGCCTGCCTCTGCTTCCCAAGTCTTGTGATTAAAGGTGTGATCCATGACATTTGGCAATGTTTCTTTAAAAGACAATAATAGGAGCTGGAGAAACAATAACAGGGTCTGGAGGAACGGCTCAGAGGTTAAGAGCACTGACTGGCTGCTCTGCAGAGGTCTTGAGTTCAATTGACAGAAACCACACTGTGGCTCACGACCATGAGATCTGGTACCCTCTTCTGGTCTGCAGGCAGAACACTGTATACACGGTAAATAAATAAGTCTTCAAAAGTCATAACGTTTTTATGTATTCTTTTTTAGTTCAGATGCATAGGCAATATATTATGATCACATATATTCCTTCATTTCCCCCTTCAACACTCCTGAATTCTTGCAACATGTCTCCCTCCCAACTTCATGTCTTCCTTCTTTTTCTCTAAAAGCAATTAGCTAAGACTTCCAAAAACTAGAAAATAAGACAGAGAATCTCATTCTTAGTGCTAATCTGACTTACAGACATGATTTGAACATTGTCATTCCCTTCATGACGTATGCTTTACATTACCAAATTATTTTTTGCTATGGCTGTTGTTTTTAGTATTGGGATTAGGAAAAGATATTTTTGTGGATGTTATTAGCTTCATATTTAAATGAACAATTAAATTTCTCTTTATGATATATCACCCTTTATCCTGCTTTGAAAGTAGATTCATTCCCAGCAGTTCTGAATTGCTGCTCTTATGGAGGATTCAAGTTTGGTTCCCAGCAACGATAGAGGGTAACTCACAACCACCTATAACCCCAAATCCAGGAGGATACAACTCCCTCTTATGACCTCCACAGGCACCTGCAGTCGTGTGCACAGACACATATGTTCACAGATTAAAATTACTAGAATTAAATCTTTTTTTAAAGAAAGCAATGGGATAATTTCTAGGTACATTTATATCTTCATTGTGTGTCATTGTTTGTAGTGATACTTCGTTTGTAATCTAACACAACTCTTTGATGGAATAGCATCAATGAGCTAACTCATGTAAGATCATGCCACTAAAAAATACATTTTGCCCAGAGCTAAAACCCAGACACTAAGGTCAGGCTAATTTCTGTATTTTACAAATAAACAGGTATTTCTCTCCTCCTTCCATTTGCATTGCAGCTTCTCCTTTTTGGAGCTGTGCCTGTGAATCTCTTTCTGAGCTGACCTCTAAGTTAGTAAACAACAATGGAACTAAAATACTTATTCAAACTGTGAAGAACTTGACATTGAGAATAATGATCTTTGCCCATACACTATGAAACAGGTTTTTTAGTCTTAAATTTTCAGAACCCAAAATGGAAGAAAAAGGAGTTTGAAAAACACTAAATCTAACAAACTTAAATACTGCCAATATTGAACGATTGCTCATAGGGTATAATTTTCTTTCCAAAATTGTAACTGTGAACCAGTGTGTGTGTGTGTGTGTGTGTGTGTGTGTGTGTGTGTGTGTGTGT